TATATATATATAATTCAATCAATCAAAACGAAACAAAATCGTCTCCGACAGCAAATTTATTAAACTCAAAATGAGAGAGCAGTAAAAATGGCCTCCGAAACGAGAATGGCAAATGTATGGCGAAAACTTCTCTTATAGTTAGTACGATTGAATCAGTTCTCACCGTTTTAATTCTGATTATAAATACAACCATTTTGATGTTAACGTCTGTGTAAAGCTTCAGTTAATTGTCACGTTAACTGTTAACTGTCACAAAATAGCTGAACAAAAAACATCGAAAGGACATGTTGGAAAGAAACTAACGACGTATCATCAAATTGGAGAGACAAGCATACGAATATTATGAGGTAACTGAAAATTTGTTCTTGAATCGTAGCGCTCCAAACGACTGTAATACATTGATTTAGTTATAGAATAGTGACGAAACACTATAGAGGAGCGGAGAGCGCGCTACTTCTATTAGGAGATTGCAAAGCAAGAACGTGTTCGTTCTGAAGCAGTATGCTCGCTGTGCCTCTATTCGTTCATTTTCCTGCTCTTCGATCTACGCATTACATCTTCTTATTTATCTATCCATCTCGACGTTCAACCGAAGCNCATAAAGGCATAAAACATTCAATACTACTAACTACCAGTCTACTGAATGTTCTCACTGGTAGTGCATAACTGACATTCTCTTGCGAATAAAGCAAACGCAATTGAGATCTTTAAAACGTTGTTTGAAATTATTGAATATTTATTTGATTTGATAAAGAAATGATAAGCGAGTGGAAGGTAGTTGAATTAAGGCAATTACGCATGCGTAATACTTTCGTTTAAAAGGAAATTGAATGAACAGTTATTAGATCTATTCTATTCATTGTAATCAGTGGATAATAAAACGAACGATACCAGTGAAGATGTTACCAAAACTGGAAAGCAACATAAGATAAAAGTGAAATTTAACGCCGCCTAGATGTATTTAGCGTTTTTGCGAGGAAATTGATCAGTGATTCTCAATCAGTGGAAGTTTCCTCATGTTGTAAAAATAGCTTTGTAAAAAGGATTGTAGAAGCTGTAAAACTTGCAGAACAGCAATGACGTGAGATGCAGTGTTAAGTGCCAACAGCACATTAATCGTCGAACAATTCATCAATCACTTCAACACTGATATTGGATAAAGAGATAATTGCGTCATTCAAACGAATGGCAATGGCACGAGGACTAGTGATGTGGTGTTGCATATCCCAACGTTTTCTGTGTGGTTATTCAGACTGTTTCAAAAGATGTTTTCCTCAAAGAGTTTGTTCATTAAATCTGTTCAGTGTGATCTCAAATTGCACTTCGACCAGCAGTGAAATGTTGTTCATAAACAACGTGCAAATTGGTTGCATTGTGTTTATTCGATCGAAATCCACACCACAGAACATTGCTCTGGAACATTTACAGATTATCTCAGTTTTGTTTAAGTTGTAATCAATTTCAAGTTATTCTTTGAGGTGATCAAATTTGTTGGTACTATTCTATAATAGTGTAAACATTTGGCTGAATTCCTGTCAAACTTGTTAGCATAAAAATTATA